AAATCCAACAGGGGACCTTACTAGCTAGTCCAGAGCAGCAAGTCAATACCCCCGAACCTTAGGAGCGCTTGTCCGTCCGGAGTCCTAACGTTGAAAACCTTTCGTGAGCTTTGATGCTCAGCACTGCGGCTCCTGGCCCACATCCTCAGGTGCTTAGACCCCCTGGCACCCGCCCCAACCACCGAACCTTAGGAGGTCAATGGAGCCTTGGGGCCTTTTAAGGCAAATACCTACCCCCCATCCACGAACTGGCTCCGACCAGTTACGATATAGCGGGCTCCTTGCCGCAGGAGGCTATCCTCCACAGCCGTGGGGATGAAGCTCCGTCGTTGGTGCAAGACCTGCAAACGTGAAGGATGGTCCAACTGTGACCGGCTAGATGCATCATTCATCTCAAAGGTCATACCCCAGTCGCTCGGCCAACCAAAAAAAGACGTCTGAATCATCTCTGACCCACTTGGCCAACAAGCAAATGAATCCTACCTCTTCACCCCTGAAGTCCTGGCACAGTCTGAACTAGGTAGAGCTACACCTGCACATCCCTCTTTTCCCATCATTTCCCTGCAATGCTAGTTAAAGCTGCAAGTCTTCCAAACATTTCCAAACTAGCTCCTGCATCATTGAGCGCACGGCGCCATGCTCCTCAAGCGTCATGACTCCATTAAACCCCAAACACGATACTCCTGGCAATGCCAAATCTTTCTCTCATAAGGCTTTCCATCAACTCTGACCCCTCACCCGGAGGGCCCGTGCGGCCTTGCCCTTCTCTTTGGCCTTGGCCAAATAACCTCGAATGTTGGATGAGAAATGAGAAATCGTAGGTTTAGATCCTCTGGATCTGTGGTATACAAAGAGAAACCCTCACCAGCATTGCTGCCGAACACCATCCCGTGGTGACCTGTGCACAAAAACGCAAATTTCAGCAGCCCGACAGCAAGTTGTATAGAATGACCCCCCTGTATCCCCCTGTCATACCCTAGGGATCCTGCGTATACGATTATTGCGTGATTCAAATGTAGAA